ATAACATGCTGAAAAATATGACCGATAATTAGACACAAATTTTGAGTAAATTCTAACAAGAAAAAGGATGTATTGTTATTGGAATATTCTCAGATCAATACCACAGGCTGAACCCCGCAAGTCTTCGGCAGCTTAGCCTGTTTTGGCTTTTATGAAAACGTCATGGTGACATTTGATTGTTTATTACCTTGAGACATTTGAATGAACGTTGTTGACCAACCGTGTACGGTATGATTATTATTTTGAACTATTGCGAAGTAATCAATTATATTGTTCATGAACGTGTTTTCATAAAAATACAATCATAGGTGGATACAGATACAGTAAACACATAAACAAAGTTTTCTACTACCCCCGTTTTCCCCTCACACATAAGAGTAATTTACTCAAATGTCTTTCCTTCCATATATTTGAAATGACTTGCAGATTTATAACTTTATTACCTCTAAAGACATTTTGGCTGTACTGTACACCAAAGATCTGTACAGCAGATGCTCCTTTAGTTATGAACAGCTCGTGCATGCGTGCGTGTGCGTGTGGTCTATGAGCGTGCACAACTCTGGTTGCAGTTTCGCTTGTCGCCAGAGGGGGCGTAGTTCTGCAGAAACTCAGAAACCTGCGTTTTGCACCTTTAAGGGGCTTTATGCAACACTTAACGGTTTTTAAGGGATTCCTTAAGTGAAAAAACAGCATTTAAGGGAAATTCTAAGTGTTTATGACGTTTCACTTAAAGAAACCCTTAAGTACCATATAAGGGCATTTTCTGCAACACCCTTAAGTTTAAGGGAAACATAAGGGCGAACTTAAGGGAAAATTACACTTAAGGTGCTTTATGCAACCGGGCACTGAGCTCCTGGACACGCCCCTACTTGATGACGCACTGGAGCCCCTGAGCTCCTGGACACGCCCCTACTTGATGACGCACTGGAGCCCCTGAGCTCCTGGACACGCCCCTACTTGATGACTCACTGGAGCCCCTGAGCTCCTGGACACGCCCCTACTTGATGACGCACTGGAGCCCCTGGGCTCCTGGACACGCCCCTACTTGATGACGCACTGGAGCCCCTGAGCTCCTGGACACGCCCCTACTTGATGACTCACTGGAGCCCCTGAGCTCCTGGACACGCCCCTACTTGATGACTCACTGGAGCCCCTGAGCTCCTGGACACACCCCTACTTGATGACGCACTGGAGCCCCTGGGCTCCTGGACACGCCCCTACTTGATGACGCACTGGAGCCCCTGAGCTCCTGGACACGCCCCTACTTGATGACGCACTGGAGCCCCTGGGCTCCTGGACACGCCCCTACTTGATGACGTACTGGAGCCCCTGAGCTCCTGGACACGCCCCTACTTGATGACGCACTGGAGCCCCTGAGCTCCTGGACACGCCCCTACTTGATGACGCACCGGAGCCCCTGAGCTCCTGGACACGCCCCTACTTGATGACGCACTGGAGCCCCTGGGCTCCAGGACACGCCCCTACTTGATGACGCACTGGAGCCCCTGAGCTCCTGGACACGCCCCTACTTGATGACGCACTGGAGCCCCTGAGCTCCTGGACACGCCCCTACTTGATGACTCACTGGAGCCCCTGGGCTCCTGGACACGCCCCTACTTGATGACGCACTGGAGCCCCTGGGCTCCTGGACACGCCCCTACTTGATGATGCACTGGAGCCCCTGAGCTCCTGGACACGCCCCTACTTGATGACGCACTTGAGCCCCTGGGCTCCTGGTCACGCCCCTACTTGATGACGCACTGGAGCCCCTGAGCTCCTGGACACGCCCCTACTTGATGACGCACTGGAGCCCCTGAGCTCCTGGACACGCCCCTACTTGATGACGCACTGGAGCCCCTGAGCTCCTGGACACGCCCCTACTTGATGACGCACTGGAGCCCCTGGGCTCCTGGACATGCCCCTACTTGATGACGTACTGCAGCCCCTGAGCTCCTGGACACGCCCCTACTTGATGACGCACTGGAGCCCCTGAGCTCCTGGACACGCCCCTACTTGATGACGCACTGGAGCCCCTGAGCTCCTGGACACGCCCCTACTTGATGACGCACTGGAGCCCCTGGGCTCCTGGACACGCCCCTACTTGATGACGCACTGGAGCCCCTGAGCTCCTGGACACGCCCCTACTTGATGACTCACTGGAGCCCCTGAGCTCCTGGACACGCCCCTACCTGGACACGCCCCTACTTGATGACGCACTGGAGCCCCTGAGCTCCTGGACACGCCCCTACTTGATGACGCACTGGAGCCCCTGAGCTCCTGGACACGCCCCTAATTGATGACGCACTGGAGCCCCTGAGCTCCTGGACACGCCCCTACTTGATGACGCACTGGAGCCCCTGAGCTCCTGGACCGACCCCTACTTGATGACGCACTGGAGCCCCTGGGCTCCTGGACACGCCCCTACTTGATGACGCACTGGAGCCCCTGAGCTCCTGGACACACCCCTACTTGATGACGCACTGGAGCCCCTGAGCTCCTGGACACGCCCCTACTTGATGACGCACTGGAGCCCCTGAGCTCCTGGACACTCCCCTACTTGATGACGCACTGGAGGTCCTGAGGCTGGCTCCTCCCCTAACAATAGAGCACATTTTTTTCATTTCATTTCATTATATTGTTTATTTTTACAGGGACAATGCACAATTAAAAGTAATTGCACCAGAATTAGCTAATAGCTAGTTTACATCTGCTGTCCCTGGGCAGGTAAACAAATAAAATAACATACATTACATATACACCACATAAACCTTCACAATACATACATGTGCATAATATAAAATTTAAAACCAGAATATAAAACAGATAATGTACAACACAGTGGTTGCAGATCTGTTGTGATAGTAGCCAGTACTTTAGCTTATTTTTAAAAATTGAGAAGCTATTGAGGCTTCGACATTCACATCAGTTCGCCACTGAATCGCGAGTTACTGTCAGTACTATTAGTTACTACAGCCTACAGTTTGCTAGCTAGCTATGCCTTCGTCACGGAAATACGTACTACCTGGATGCGATCACGTACAAAACAGATCGGTGTCCTTATTTAATTTTCCGAAAAAACGATCACATCAAGAAGACGTGGATTTCATTTTGTGAAGAGCCACCTTGATGGAGAGCTGAGGATCACCCCCAAAACCCGCTTCTGTAGTGAACATTTTACACGGGATAGATTTATAAACTTTCGTCTGAGATTCTGGGATTCACTGATAATCCGTGAATGGGTAAATGGGGCCAAACCGACTATCTCCGGCATCGGCCTTCATCCTCCCGTCCCGAAAGCAATATCACCTAATATCACCGTCGGCAGCTTTCCCGCTAGTGGGCGTGGTTTCAGCGCAGCCAGCGGACACGCCCCCACAGCAGACACGCCCCCAGCGTTTGAGAGCAATACTGCTCATTTTTTCAAGATTTTGATAGCTTATTTTATTTACTTGGCGGCTTTTTTATCATTCAAATTTGGCTGGGTGGCTAATAACACATTTTTCTGTGGTGTGACAAACTCAGAACACATACTTAATTTTGACTTTACAGGGACTTTAATCTTTTACCGTTCAATTTTTTTTTACCATTTAATTTTTTTAATTTTTTTTTATTTAACAGTCAAACATACATACAAACCAACATAGTGCAGCAGTGAGCAATCTTGTAAATCCATAATTCCAGAAGTGACATAAAAGTGATTTAAGTGTTTGATCTAAGTGTGTATGTGAGCGGGTGTGCGTGTGGGTATGTGTATGTGTATGTGTGTGTATGCGTAAACAGAGTAACTATTTATTATCTATTACCATTGTCATTACCATCACCACCCCACTCCCCACTACCACCATACTGCCAATATTGTGTTGGTCGATTTTTATTTCCATCCTTCCTCCTATGTAACAATTGCCATTGTCAATCCTGCACAAAGTAAAAGATGATATAAGAGAACCTTCCCCCACATCTCATCAGTCCCTATCTTTCCCTAATTATTATTATTATTATTACCATCATTATTATTTAGTATTTTTTTTTGTGTGTGTTATGTACAATGTCTAAGGTGCATTAAAAGAGTTATTTTATTTATCTCCTGTTATTGTTTGCATTATCTCTACTGATAGAAATACCTCATTCTGAGAAGAACTTTTGTTGGATTTTTTTGGACTTGCAAAGAACCTTTTTTTTTTTATAAATCTACTTTGCCTGGAGTATTGCCTTAAGTGTTTCGTTTGGGTCCAACATTACCTCCTATGTGGCTAAGTGGTAGAACACTTAACTCTCCACTTCGGAGACCCGAGTTCGACCCCAGGTTGTGACAATAGTTGTAGTATTTCATCCTTACTGTAAATTGACATTAGCCCCACTTAGTTTCAAAATGCGGCAATTGCTGCTGTTTTGCTAAATGTCCCTTTGCTCCACCTGGCGTTCATTTCGCGAATGACTTTGAAATGCCACTGGTTTATTTTTGCCGCGGTGGTAATAGGCATTCTGGTAGAGTACCTTCTGTATGTGCTGCTATTCTGGAGTATACCTTGATAATTGAAATGCACAATTTTATTTTTGTGCACACTTCTTATCAAAATTCTAGATAACCTTTTAGTGAAATAGTTTTCTGAACACGATTGTTTTCCATCAAGACCAGATTCACTGCATCTCTCTACAGCAGGTCTATGAGTCTCCAGATGTTCACAAACATGCAGTTTTACAAGCCAGTTTTCTCTGTGCTGACGTTTCTCACTTCTCCTGCTTAAAAGCCAGAAAGATCTTAATTTCACACTCTGTATTCATACTGAAAACCATGATCTAGTGAGCTTTTGCCCCTCTGCTCGTGAGACGTTTCTATTCTTATGAGTTTGCTTTAGGACTGAGTGTCACTCTAGTTTCTTTAAAATGTATATTTATTTGTGTATTTAAATGTTCAAAGAAAAATAAAAAAATGTATCTTATCAATTATTTTTTGTAATGCAACAGACATTTATTTGAGAACTGAATTGACTGTTCTGCAGGTTTTTGAGTCCTGCTGCAGAGGAAGCCTGTCAGTATGTGAATAGAGTTGTGGGTAAAAACCCGTTTCTCCAGAGAAAGCTGAATCTGAGTGAACATAAACTAGGAGACACACGAGTGAATCAGATCGCTGCTCTACTGCAGGATAAACACTGTCGACTCAACACACTGACGTGAGTATTGCTCATTTATTTATAATATTACTTTACTTTTAGTTGTAATGTTAGCTGATGATAATATTTCCTCACTTGTTTGAGTCAGAGCAGTTTTTCCCTCAGCGTCACACAGAGCCACAACAATTTAAAGTAATAAAATTAAACAGCAAATTAAAAAGACACAATTAAAACTTGATATCAAGCTTTAAATATTTGGTTAAGACAGACCAAAGGATCATGGGTCAATAATTATTTCAGTTTCTGTAGAGGCAGAACAATGTTTTTTGTGACATCAGAATCAGAAATGTTCATAATCCATCGGGACCTCGTGTTCATGCGATGACCCATCTTTCCTTTGTATGTCTAGTTCAGTTTTATTTTCCTTTTTGTATTCTCCTTTGTTCATTCTCACCGGCGAGTGAAATTAACTTAGTTTGAATAATTTCTTTGGCAACACCTTCAACGGACGATTTGAACATCCCGCCACACGGGCGCGCCGGAAAGGACCTCTGACCGGGTTCGGAACACACACACACGTACACGAGAGAACATGATCAGCAAGTATTCGTTTTCCTATCGAGATCTAAATACTGCTAAGATTGCCTGCCCTAATTAGGGTACGATTTGACTAGTTGTCTCTCTTAACGGTTCTGTGTCTGATGAATTTTGCCAAACTCACCAGCTCTCTCTCTCTCTCTCTCTCTCTTTCTATATGCATTCTCCTTCCTCGATGTTTATTGTGTTTGTAAATACATTTATTCCTTGTAACGTTTATTAACCGTATACGTAATCACCTTTATTAAATACATATATTCATTGATTGATTCTGCCTGTGCTCATACTTCAAATCACTTAAATGTTTCGATCAGCTACAAACTTTAAAATGGTATAATACTTTAAATAGTATTGGGACAAAACAGGAAAGCTATCTTTTATGGCCGTAAAGATCGTCTCTTCCTGCGAGTCTCTTAAAGGTAATTTCTCTGTGGAAATTGATGAAGATCCATGATCAGTTTGCTGGACAAACAGATTATTCGATAATAATTAATTCCATTGAGGAGTATCCTGAGAATCTATATATTCCAGACGATTTGTATATGAATATTGAATTATAATTCGTTATGATTTGATTATTGATAAATACAATTGATCTATCTTGCCGATCTGTATGAATAATTGATTATACATCCATTATGTTCAGTCGTTCATAACAGATTGGCAACGTAACCCCTTTGCCGGGTGATTTTTAACATGTATTGCAGGGGTGCCCAATCCTGCTCCTGGCGATCGACTGTCCTGCACAGTTCATCTCCAACCCTAATCAAACACACCTGCCTTTAATTTTCAAGCGATCCTGACGTGCTCTGAAGACCTTAATTGGTTGCTTCAGGTGTGTTTGATTAGGGTTGGAGATGAACTGTGCAGGACAGTCGATCGCCAGGAGCAGGATTGGGCACCCCTGATGTATTGTTATCTGGGTCAAACCCGTATCAATAGTTATTAATTTGTAATTACTAAATATTGAATACATATTCCCCAATGGCCCAAATACTTTACATTAGGGTTAGACATTTGTGCTTTTTTCAGTTGCTTATAAACATATTACTGGCACAGGTGAAATTACACTCTATTTAGCACACACAGGGCTACCATAATATGTGAGCAACATGTATGTACATGTTTGTATTTTTGAGAGAATATTGTTTATGCATGTTTATTGATAAAACTAAAAATTAAAGTTTCTGAAATAAGGCCACAAAACACATACTAAATATGTGTCCACAAGACTTTTGACTTTTGAATGGCCCAACCCCCTCATGTATAATTAGGTGATTCTCACCTGAGAAGACAAAGATGCATTCATTTCATTCTGGTGTGTCACAAGAAAGAATGCAAGGAAAATATATACATACACACACAGACATATATATATATATATATATATATATATATATATATTAAGGCTGTCAGTTAAACGCGTTATTAACAGCGTTAACGCAAACCCATTTTAACGGCGTTAATTTTTTTATCGCGCGATTAACGGTCTTTTTGGCCTAGCAAACTTTGTAGTTTTTTTTCCACATGCTTTTGCAACAGGACGCGGCATGCGCGGCGCTGCGCTATGAAACCCATTCATTTCAATGGCTTGCGCCGGGCAAGGACGTTTTGAAAGCGCAAGCGGATCTAGCTAGACCGGAAACAAAACAACAGGCACGCCGCACACACTTGTTTGGGCTTGCGAGCCGGATGCGCGAGCGCGAATCTCTCTGCTCGAGTCGCGCACTCTCAGATACACGCTGCTCTTGTAAGAATTTTCTCTGGGCTCGCTCAGAGAATATGTGCCTGCACTTAAAACGTGTTCAGTGCAATCGCGAATCTCTCCTCTTCCCCAGCTAACAATTTTAGGTTATAAGAACGTTTTCATGACGTTCCCATTAAGTTATAAAAACGTTATTTCTGAATGTTATAGGAACGTTCAAAACGTCCAGTTTTGAGTGGATGACGAGCGCGAGACGCCGAAATGGATGCCAATAAGATTCTGAATGGAAAGTTTACTTTTAAAAAGTTGCCAAATGGTTCCATTGACAAGACCAAAGTGATCTGTGTGTTTTGTCGTTGTGAACTGAGCTATCATCATCGCAGCACCTCCAGTCTGAATACCACTTGATGATGGCCAAGCACACACACACACACAGCTGATGCAAATTCTCCGCCCCCTCGTCAATATCAGGACCTCGTCAGTATTTCTTTCACCCTTTTATTGATGGACAGTGTTACATTGTGTGAGAGATTATTTGCTCCAAGTGAGAATGTTTTAGTGTGAAATTGAACAGTATATGCCAATATTGTTTTCAATAAAAAACATTTGCACAAAGCAAGCCGATCCACTCTTCCATGTTGATAAGAGCATTAAAATGAGAAAAAATAATGGGACAAAAAGAAATCAAGAGACATTTAGAATAGATAAAAATGTGCGATTAAATGCGATTAATCGCGAGTTAACTATGACATTAATGCGATTAATCGCGATTAAATATTTTAATTGTTTGACAGCACTAATATATATATATATATATATATATATATAATCAAAATATAAATGAAAGTCAAAAGCACATTTTTAGCCATACATGGAAACAAATCCTGTGCAAATAGGTTATATGGGCCATTCTACAGAATTGGTTCAAAGTTAGAGTTGGAAACATCTTGAAAAGAAAATTGTCTTTTTCCATAAATCTCTTATAAAGTATTATTTTTTAAAGTATGCCAATACATTTTATTATACATATTTCAAAGTTAAGGATTCATTATTTTGATATAGCCTAGCTGGAACAAACACTATAACAGTTGATCAGTTTATTTTTGACAAAACATACTATATATTTAACATATGAGCAGAAACTGCTAACAAAAGCTTATTTGGTGTCTATTTTAGAGTTAAAACCTAATAATCTATCCTAAACTAGTCACACACGCACACAGACACACACACACACACACACAGAAACATGATTCAAGTTTATACAGTAGGCTATTTTTGCGTTTACAGACACTAATAGACACTATTATATATCGCGATTAGAACAAAGCACTTACAGTTCAGCTCGCTCCTCGAAGTGAAAATAAACCAGCACTTGTTCTGAGGTAGGTAAATGTCCCAGGATTATTCCTCACAGCCGCGCAAGACGACAGTACATTAATCTGACTAAATAAAGTGTGTTTACCGAGTTTATATGCGCGTTTACACGTCTCAATGTGTTGCTTCAGATCATTAGCGTTTGAATAGCGCGCGCTCTCCGTGGGCGTGTCACATTAGCGGAATAATGAGATGCGAGAAAGATAATGAGAACTGCTGACACATCTCTCTTTTTATATAGATTACTACATAAACAGGGAATATTTATTTTAGTTTTAAATTAGATAATTTAAAAGTACAAACTTAAATGATCATAAACATATATTGCTCATGTCTGGGTGAATAGTATTAGCTGAGTTTTGTTTAAGTTTAAGAGACGTGCTCCAGAAAAAAGTTCACGGACACGGAGAGGCAGAACGCACACCCTGTTTATTTTCTTTATTTTACAAAAGCACAATATTTTATTTCGATTGTAGGTGGGCACATAAAAAAGTAGACATTTAACCGTTTTTTAAATATGTTTCATAACTCTGTATGACCAGAAATGATGGAGTAGTTTAAGTCTATTTTTCTGCTATGTGAAAAAAATCTGCCAAAACGCACGGGTGCGTTCTTGGTCCCCAGAGGGTTAAACGCTGGTGTTTTTATGCAGTTTTTGGCCAGCGTGTGTCGTTTCGAAACTACACGTCTGCACGCTTAGACTAACGCTTCAAAACAGTGAATCATTTTGCGATGAAATTGGTTTAACTGATTTGAAGCTTTGAAAAGCTTTGTTTCTCCCATCACTACTGAACGCAAGTGCAGCTTTATTCAAATAAACGTGAACAAAACTACAAAAACAAAGACTTGACTGAGAAACATGAACGTCACCAACAGCAGTTACAGGGAACACAGCCAGACAGAAGACAATGGTCACATGAAGGCAGAGCCGTACGCAGGGTTTTATAAAAACTGAGGTCCCAAAATTGATGTTGCTAGGGGGGTTCAGGGGAAATTTAGATTTTCCTGATCTACACATGTGCAATTTAAGGTGTTTGAAGGACAACACAATTGGATATCAATAGCTTTAAAAGCATGTCAGTGGGCAGTAGCATACATTATTTGTCAAGCAGAAAACAGATTCTTAAACATGAGAATCAGGTTAAATGTTGCAATGAATGATCCACACTACAAAATGAAATGCAGAAATGTTATGCTTATTGTTGACAAACACAATCACTTATTCCAAACAGGAATGAGAAATGATTCAATGATTATTTTGCATAGATGTTACATTTCAGTCAAATGCCAATGCAATCCTTCTGTGTCCAGAGGCATATGAGCAATATGTATGAGAATCAAAGATCGGTTTCAGCAACTTGTTTCTTTCCTGAATTAATCA